TTAAAACGAAGTAAAAGGTACTCAATCATTAATCTACTAAGGGATTCTTCTAAATTCAATTTTTATACATAAAAATATATCTGTTTAAACAAGAAATTTAACCATAGGAAAGACATCCTAGCTACCAGGTTGTAAATAGAAGATATTAACAAATAAAATTCTTATATGACTTAAGACTTGTACGTATTACATCATGTGAACCTCAACCATCAGGCATATATCTTAGAGAGCTCTTAGGAAAGTATTAATTTCTAAAAGGAAGCTAGTATCTATAGCGGTTTGGGTATTAGGATATACACTTTTGCTCATCTAACTGACAGATAACAAATTTACTGTATGGTTTCAAAGGTAAAAATTATTTTCTTAAATGTAACTTAATTTTTTTATTTAACCTTGTTCGTAATGACGTGAAACACTTTTTATAGACATAACATTTTGTTTATAACGCAAAATTATTATCCTATTGATAAAATACTAACCTTTATATATTTTATACAAGTGATTAAGGTTTTATTAGTTTGTTTAATTATAATAGATATTGTTAGGTTTTGTATAGTCAATCATTTAATTTTAGCCATACCGCTCATTTCAACCCACAAACCTCTCCCTCTCTATTTTCCGATTGTTTCATATCATCATATCTCTGGAATGAGTTATGCTTATGAAATGTTTAGATATTACTTCTATATCTACTTATGCTTTATTCCAAGTTACATACTTCTTTCAATCGTTTGTGTACTACTAAAGATCCAAACAATCGAATGTGCTTACGTTAAATTCCTAGACAGATTGTTCTCGGTAAATTTGAAAAATTAACATTCCTTTAGTTTACTGCCACGCTTTTTGCGCGAGAGTCGAAAAATAAACTTATTCGTAATGACAGTTGCGATCAACTTAGTGCCTATGGTTAATTAACTTTATATGGCTTACCTTTTCGTTTAGATGATAATATCATCGAAAGAGACGTTACTCTCACTGAGGATGGAATAACATTTAATAAAAACTATCTATGCGATGTTACTTCAGAGTTTAAGCTTCATAACCCCATGCACCTTGTTAAATCAGGAGTTGAGGTAATATTACATCTTTTATCATTTTGGCAGGCAATTATCGAAGATGAGGTCACTAAGCGCTTTACAGCTGGAGAACTAAGAGTTTGGAACTTTCTAAGTCGAAATCAAATATATTACACCCTTAAGTAATACATTATTTTCATATGATCCCTTTTAGTAAGCATTATAACTTCCATTTAAATGCTTTGTGGTGTATTGGATTCTTTATCCGATATGTTATTCTCTTCCCTTCACGATTTGCCGTCTTTATTTGCAGTATTCTGTCTATATGGTTTCTTGGAACCTTTGCCACGTTCCTCACAGATTCCAGGTATATTTATTCATCTTTACTCTTCAGCTTTAAACGTGGCATCCTAACCTCTGGCCTCCAGTGTGCTATTCGCCTAAATCTGCGGGCATTTTCAACGGTCGTTCGCTATCATAACATGTTAGTAATATTAGTTTCCTTCACACATGCTTTCTTAACTATCCTAATCAAGCTTGATGTAATTTAGAGATAATCGCCCGCAAAATAACACAATTTGTGTTTCAAACCACACGACCCCATTGGATTGGTCGGTTTTGAATGCTGATAATTCTTATGCTATAGTAAGTGGCCGATTAAAACATTTATATGCTTTCTTGTATTCCCTTTCAGCCATGCATTGCGTATTTAAACCTGCATGTCCTCACATTTTGTCGTATTTTAAAATGTACTCCTCATTTTCTTATAAATTTAGGATCACTTTCTTATTTTCCATATTCACATAGTAAAATTGCTTAATTGCTTGTAATCCTATTGGCATCCGCTAAAATTCACCTCTGAATTCATTATTTGTTCTTATTATTTTTACATTAATCACTTGTTATTACCTACTCGGTTTGAAGTTAGGAGTATTTATAGCTTGGAATTTGGTTATGGGCTATATTGATATATTTGTTTCTTTTATGCTCCGGTTGCTGTCTGAATTTCCACTAAACTCGGAAAGCATATTTATTCCTACAACCAAGAATACATTTTCGTTTAAGTGATGAGGAG